CTGGGCTGGAGAGTTCAGAGTAGACAGCCTGATATTCAGAGCCATATGTTATAACAGGGATTGAGGAATACTGGGAGAACCTGGCAGCTAGGTCTGCTTTGATATATTAAATAGGCACCTCAGTATTTGTTCCATGTTTAAAACTTAACAGTATTAAAGGTGTGTGCCACCATGCCTGGATTTTTATTACATTTACTTACTTACTTACTAGTTATTACCTATTTGTGTGTGTGCATGTGAACTTGTGTAGGTCAAAGGACAACTGTTTGATGTCAGTTCTTTCTTTCCACCATGTGGGTCCTTGGAATTGAAGTCAGGGCATCAGGCTTAGTGGTCAGTGTCTTTAACCCTCTGAATCATCCAACTGGCCCTTTCTCTATCTTCACAAGGGCACGAAGCATACTGTATTCAGGTCTCATCTTTATGACCTCATCTAGTCTTCATTATCTCACAAGTGTCCTTCATCCAAATATGCTCACACTGTAGGTTAGAGCTGCAACATGGCCTGGAGCCATCAACTAGGGCATTCAAAGAGAAAGATGGTGTACATGGGGATGCATGCTCTTGTGCACACTCAAACGTGTGTGTGTGTGTGTGTGTGTGTGTGTGTATTGTGTGTGAGAGAGAGAGGGAGAGAGACAGACAGAGAGACATAGAGACTGTTAGAATAGGAATTAACTGAGATAGAGAATGCAGCTGAAGAAGTAGGTTGAGGGATACTTGTATATAATTTTTAGACTTGCTAGTTTTGGGAAATACATTGGATACTCAAGAAAAGATACTGAATAAGTAGTGTGACCTCCATATATCCTGAACCAAAGATGTAAAGTGGGTAATTGTTACATACAGATGGCATTTAAAACCACAAGAATGGGATCAATGGGAGAGAATCTTCTGGAGGAATTTTATGGGCTCAGCACACTTCCAATGCACAACTCCATTCACCGCTGGAGGAATTTTTAAAGAACTAAAAATTTGCCAGTGAGGTAGAAGGAAATGTATGGCATGTTGTGTCATGCTTAGGTCCATATATTTACACACACACACACACACACACACACACACACACACACACACACGTACGCACGCACGCGCACACACACATACATATACTCTGTGTGTGTGTGTGTGTGTGTGTGTGTGTGTGTGCACGTATGACTTAAAATGAATGCTTTTGGGGGTTGGGGGGAAAATACCTTAAAAAATGAATGCTTTCTGTCACTTTAAAACATTTTGTAAAGACCAGATTTCACTCTATAGTCCAGGCTAGTCTTGAACTTGCAATGATTCTCTTGTCTCTGCCTTCCAAGTACTAGGATTATAGGTATGTGCCACGATGCCTGGTTCACTCTTTAATAAATAATAGTAAGTTTATTAAAAATACAATTGATATACCATACAATTTACAGTGACCAACTGGAGAAATATTATATTCATAGATTTGTGTTAACCATGGTCAATTTCAGAATATTTTCATCACCCACCACCAAAAGCCCATAAGTTTGGCTATCTTTTTTCTTTTTTCCATGTCTCTGAGCCCTAAGTAACCCATAAGAGATTTGTTTAGTGGAGTTATATGTGGTCCTTCTTGATTGGTTTCTTCTAATTATCTCATTTTCATGTCATAGCATGAATGGTACGTCTTTTAACTGCCAGATAATAAATAGTTCACGCAACTTTTCTTTCTCTCCCAATGTTAGTTGTTTTCTGTTCTTGATTACAGGTATCATAGCACACAGGGAAGTGATTATTTCCTTGTTAATCACCCCCCCATCTTAACTTGGCTTCCTTCTCTTAGATTATCAAAGAAAACATCACTTCTGTTCACATTCTAGCATTGCTTGAAAGTTAATTCTGTGAGTTGGTATGTGCATTCCTGAAATATACTTCGGATCCCGTCAGTATCTTCTAAATGTTGTGGTTCAAAGGTCAGTGGTAGAATGCTATTCTAGAAGTGAAAGAAATAAGTAGTTAACTAAACGGCTATTCCAGGAGTGAAAGAAATAAGTAGTTAACTAAACGGCTATTCCAGGAGTGAAAGAAATAAGTAGGTAACTAAACGGGAACCGCAAAGTCAGGCCCAGTGGTGTACATCTGTAATCTTTGCACTACAGGAGGCTGAAGTAGTAGGACTATTTGAGTTCAGCCTGGTCTTACATGGCAAGTTTTGGGCCATCTTGGGCTACCTATTAAGACCCTGCCTAAACAACCAAAACCAAAACCAAAAAAGCAAAGTGCTTGTGCTGACACAACACACTTCTGTAATCCCAGCTTTTAGGAGGCAGAAGGATTAGTTCCTGATTATCATCAGCAATAAAGCTAGTCTGAGCTAGCTCCTCCATCTCAATTTACTCAATCCACCATCTCAAATTACTAACTTGTGAAGCTGAGCAAAAACCCCAACTCTCCAAGCTCCCAAAACCCAACCCCAAACTATCACTCAAGACTCTGATAATTTACCATGATCCCATCCCTAAGTTTATGTAATAACTATGTAAATGAGATGCTGAGAAAAAAAAATCAGCTCTTGGGCACCTGTTTCATGATCCTCCCTAGTTGAAAACTAGTTGATATATGACATTTGTGTAAAGGTGACCAGGTGAGGATTTAAACAGAATAACAGCAGGTGCTTCCAAAAGGCTTTGGCTTCAGTCAGTCCAACAGACACAATTACAACAGTAGAGGGAGGAGGGGTGACAGCACTCCAGATTGAAGACATTATTATGAACTCCTCCTCCTTTCCATGACTTGGGGTGGTAATGGTTCTTTAAAACCAAACAACCGTTTTTACCGTGTACCAACACAATGTGTTTGTGACTGAATCAATAAAACAAGCAGACAGGGGCAGGATTCTGGGAAGGATTCTCCTGGCAGGGTACCACAGATGCTGAAAGATGTTTCCTGATAAAGGTGTACCTACCTGGGACACTGGGGAAGCCTCGGGTTAAGTACATATGCAAATAAATGCTGGGAAAATGTTGAGGGGATTTACCTCCATTAAATACTTTGAGAAGCCACTTCAGGTGATGAAACTCTGGCTCTATGAAAAGGAATGGGGCAAAAAATGTTCAGGTAGCAGGGCTACAGCTGAACCAGGGAGTGGCTGCCTGAGAAGGAAAAGGATGATTCAGGCGTTGGGAAGTGAAGTCTTGGGAGCTGTTTTGGGAGTTAGAAAGTGTACACCTCCCAGAGTATGGTAAATGTAAGACTCACAGCTACTGCTTTCCTTGAGTCCTGGAGGAAGTTAGGTTATGATACTTATATCAGAGTAGTCTCTCTCTTTTTTTGAAGCATGGTTGGGCCACATTTTTATTTTTTATTTTTTGCTTCCATGTGTGTGCCATGCATACACGGATATGTATATGTGTATGTGTGTGTTGTGTGTGTAAGCCAGAGGAATCATGGAATATCTTCTGTGATCATTGTCTCCTTAGTATGCAGAGACAGGGTCTCATGAAATTGGAGCTTCTAGGCTAGTCTTCCCTGGGGATCTTCTCTCTGCTTTCCCTGCAATTATAGGCAGGCTGCCCACATTTACGTGGGTATTGTAAGACTTTCCTCACCGGGCCACCTCCTCCTTCCCCACAGTGTATCCTTATGTTTGTATGAGAGTAATCTCAGATGTTGTCCTCAGGTGTTATCCAACTTTTAGTTTTTTAAAGACAGGGTCTCTCACTGGCTCAGAACTTTCCAAGTATGCTAGATGGGCTAGCTAGCAAGCCCAAGGACCTGTGTGTCTCCATCTTCCCAGTGCTGTTATATGTGGGTATCACTCAGGAATGAAATACTTTCATGGCAAGCACATCACCTATTGAGCTACCTCTCCAGCCCCACATCATTGTCAATCAAAAAGCAGAGTGAATGTGAGCAGGCTCATAAATCACAGAAGCTCAAGACAGTTGTGACCAACATTGATCAACTGACATTCCCCAGCAGCTATTTTATCCACAAGGGATCTGTCCAATCCATCCAGCTTTTGCGGATTCGAAAGTGACAACTTAGGGCCTGCTTTTGACTTGGAAGACACTTTGGAGGCCCCCCCGAGGGCAGAAAACCCTCCTGTGATATTCCTGTTAGGGCCTTGAAGTCACTACCTGATTCTAACTATGTCATTTCTTTAACTGTCCCTTGGTCCTAAGTAAACAAGGAAGAAAGACTGTGACTAAAGGTCTGCAACATGGACATGGCTCAACTTACTCGAGAAGATGCCGGGCTTGTGTTCGGTGACTAATTTTACTTAAGCACGGTTCAATACAGGGCTGCTGGAGGTCTCAAGGTTATCGGCCAGTATTGAGGTATGGGGGGGTGGGGCAGATGGGCCCGAAGTCTAGCTAGATGCAGTAGCATCTGCTCAAAAAACAAAACAAAAACCCCAAAAAACGGCCTCGTGACTTAATGTGACCAAACTTTCCATCTATTTCAAAGATACTTCACTTCGAACCTCATTATGATCACCACCCTCATTTGACAGAGGGAGAAACTGAGGCAAAGACTAACACCTCCAGACATCCATGTACCCGCCACATTCTGAGCACATGTGTGTATGCAGGAGGTTAGTTAGAGGTCTGAGGTGAGGACCACCTTAGCCTCATCTGAACCCCGAGGCTCTCGTGGCTGCCAAGCTCCAGCCTCTACTCATGCCCAGCCTTCACAGCACGGGTGATCACTCAACTGTTTGCGATCAAGGACGGGCACCCTGGAAACACGCACGGCGGAGGGTGCACGCTGAGTACGTGAGTGTGTATGGCAGAAGCCGGGACACAGACCGGAAGTCTGCAGGGCTGAGGGAGCGCGCGGTAGTGGGGCCGGAAATGTAAGCGATTGAAGGAGCGCTCCCGCCGCGACTCCGGAGGCACGGGCCGGAAGTGTGCGTGGCCGAGGGGGACTCTGCGGCTAAGGCAGCTCCGTGGCGGAGACTGCGTGAAGGCTCCGCTTCCGGCGGCGGCCTACAACGACGAGAGCCCTCCGCGCTGCTAACCCACTGGCTCTTTTGGCGTTCCTCGGAGTCCGGCGACGGTCTGTTCGTTTGCTGAGCTGGCCCGGTGGCTGCGGTCCCTAGGTGTGCGAGCTAAGAACCCGCGGTCATGAGCGGCAAAGAAGGTGCGGGAACAGGGCGTGGAGGGGAGGGGCTGGGCCTTGTGCGTCGTGCTCTGCTGTCATCGCGCTGCAGGCCTGCCCCGGGTCTAACCCTGCAGACCGATGTCGGGGGCAGCCCTATTCCTTGAGTCTCGGAGCAGTGCTTTTATCCCACCTCTGGGCTAGTGCATGTCAGGGTGGTGTTTAGGGAACCCCCGTGTAGCGGGAGAGGTGCCCCGGGAGGAAGGGGATAACGTGGGCTGTGCAAGCCGGAGGATGGAAGGGCACTATCCAGCTCATCGTCTTTTCTACACAAGGACCAGGAGGATTCAGGAAGAGGAAGCATGACAACTTCCCACATAACCAGAGGAGAGAAGGGAAGGATGTCAGTTCATCTTCGCCGGTGATGTTGGCCTTCAAATGTAAGTTTCCATAAGGAAAATTAGAGCCATAACGATCGTGAGGCCATAATGTGTACCAAAAAGCAGCACTAAACAATTTAGGACATCCAGACTAGCCAAGGCTACGAAGTGAGACCTTGTCTCAAAGTATATGTCTATGTATATGTCATGCGGATGTAAAGCTTAGGTTTTCTTAATGGTTTGTGCTGTTTCCAGGTCTGCCCTGAAAATCTGTAGATTCAGATATCAGGATCTACTTGACCAAGTTAATAGACTAAGAAAGGGATTATGAATACCTGTGTACATGTGCTACAAGATTTACTAATAGTTCCTATTTTGTGCAAAGTGCTATCTCAAATTAAATTTTGTGTGTCAGTCTAGTTAACCCACCTAACGCACTAAATATGGATATATATGGTAGTAAATGGTACATAAGAAGATGATATCACGGACAGTACAGTTGCTAAGAATGTGGCATATTTCCATATAAAGTAGCATTTAATGTGAAACTGCTTGCCTGTTTACATAGGACATAATAGTCAAGGACTTGGGGATACAGATTGTATTTATCACATTGAATTTATTAAACTTTTGTATTTATCACATTGAATTTATTAAAAGCAAGGCAAATTTAAAACTTTCATATTTAGGAGGAAGGAAGTAGATTGCACTTTTTAAAGTGAAGGGTGTCAACTAATTTGTGGATAGTTTTTTTTTTTTTTGGTTTCAGAGGCAGGGTTTCTCTGTATTATTTTGGAACCTGTCCTGGAACCAGGCAGGCCTCAAACTCAAACTCACAGAGATCCACCTGCCTCTGCCTCCCAAGTGCTGAGATTAAAGGCATGTGACACCAATGCCTGGCAATTTGTGAACAATTTTAAAAGCATGAAACACTTACAGTGATCTTCATAAGTGTAGGAAACTAGGTATAATTGAACGGAGGACATATTGACATGACTGAATACGGAATGAAAACAAGCTGCGTGTTTCCAGCATATTTGCTGTTTTCCTGTTTCTTTCTCTTATGGGCTCATAGTTCTCTGAGCTTGGATTTGCTTCTAACTTAGTGCTTTCATTACCATTCCAATGGACTATGTTCTCTTTAAGACTCAGCTCAAGTAGTTCCATGGTGATGAACACCACATTCATTCAGTTTCCATCCATCCCCTCTTGAGGTATTTATTTGTTTATTTATTTTTTGGTTTTTCGAGACAGGGTTTCTCAGTAGCTTTGGAAGCTGTCCTGGAACCAGCTCTTGTAGACCAGCCTGGTCTCGAACTCAGAGATTTGCCTGCCTCTGCCTCCCGAGTGCTTGGAGTAAAGGCATGCACCACCACCACCACCACCTAGCTGAGATATTTTTTTAAACCCTATGTATTTATTATATCATTATTATATTTTCTTAATTACTTGTTATTTATACCTTTGAGGCTAGGAACAATGTTTCATCTAACTTTGCATTTATAATACCAGGTTGATGGCTCTTATAATATCAGACAAAATCCAGACTCATCATTATTGACAAAAGGGTCTAATTAGCCCAGACTGATCTCTTGAGGATGACCCTGAACTCCTGATCCTCCAATCCCCACCTCCTGAGTGTTGGGGATTGTGCAGACTTATGCCACCATGCCCTTTTTATATAGAGGAAAGCAGAAAAGGATTATTTATTACTCAATGTTGTCACATTGGGAAGAGCACAAAGAGATTCAGTGACCCTTTGAGTACATCTTCTGGGGATTGTTTTTATTCAGTGCTAAGGATTGAACCCAGAGCTAGTGCATGCTGGGCAAGAACCCTACCAACTGAACTATATTTCTAGCCCTGTAGTGCTGTTGTTAATATCAGGAGGCTCGACACTGGTAGTGATATTTTGAAGATGATAGTAAGGTGGTTTTTTTGTGTTAATTTTCTATACTAGTGTCACTTTAAGATAGTTTACAGATTTCTCCGAAAGCCTCCTGGGATTCTGGATTCTGTTTCTGTGCTTCATAAGATAGAGGACAGTGCTCAGTTTCTTTGTTTTGAGAATTACTGTCATTACTGCTGTGTTTTGCTTGTTGAGTCTTCCATGGAGGCAGATGACTACAACCTTAGCTACATCCATGTTGTGGCATGTGTTCTTTCTGTATTTTGACTAGCTTTGAGTAAAGAATATGCATGCTTATGGTTATTATAATGTGTTCTAGCATTTCAACAGGAGTTGGATGCGAGGCATGACAAATATGAGAGACTTGTGAAACTAAGTCGGGATATAACTGTTGAAAGTAAAAGGACAATTTTTCTTCTCCATAGGATTACAAGGTAGGTGAACATCTTTGAAATTTGTCATTGGAAGGGCTGGTGAGATGGCTTAGTGAATGAAGGTGCTTGTCACTAAGTATGATTACCTCAGTTGGCTTCTGACCTTCACACACACATCATGGAACATGAGTGTATGCACACACACATATGCACGTAAATAAATGTAACTAAGAAATTAAAATTGTTTTCTGATACATTGCATTTATAAATTTTATATCTTAACAGATAATAACATGTTAGAATGTATTTTGGGTTTTAAACAGTTTCATATAATACAAGCATCTGCATTTTAAACATTAATATTTGTCTCAGTGGTTAAGAGCACTGACTGCTCAATTCCCAGCACATACACAGTGGCTCACAGCCATCTTCAGCTCTAGTTCTAGGTAGGGCATCTGATGCCCTCTTCTGGTCTCCATGGGCACTGGGCACACAGATGGTACACAGCTGTACATATTGGCAAAACACCCATAAACATAAAATCATTTTTTAAATATTTTAGTTTTGCTTTCAAATGAATTTGTCTATGTCTGTGGTTATTTCCATGAGGGTATTGTAGTGAAATATTCACCCCGCTCATACCTGTTGCACACATATCCCTGGAGTTGTGAGCCACTCCACATGGGTACTAGGAAGAGAACTCTAGTCTTCTGTAAAAGTAGTATGTATTTTTAACTGCTGAGCTCTCTCTCCAGCCCCTCAAAACACTTTAAAAATTGGAGGGAAATTCTTACTTTTAGCCCACCTAAGGATTTCATACTCCTTTGGATCATTTGTTTACATATATTTATACATATTGCCCATGTAAGAATAGTCTGAGGAAATATATTAAATTTTGGATTATCTTCTGGAGCCTGTTATGTTGAACTCTCAGTTGATGTAAGAATTTAATATTAGATGTGAAAATGTGGTTAATTTCTTACTCAGTTTTCAACTCATTGCAGTCTTGTCTATTTCCGGTTCTTGTTATCTTCTTATTGTAAAATCTAGTGCATCTGACTTTGTATTTTTACAGCATACTGTCTGCTTAGTTCTTTGACAGTTTCTCTTTGAACCCTGTGCCCTTGTCTGCTTTGTGCTTTTTTTTTTTTTTTTTTTTTTTTTTATTTTCTCCAGGCTGACTTTTGCTTTTCTAGGGAGGTTTTCTGGTGTCTGGGCTAGAAGTAAAAGGAACAAGGTGATGCCTGCCTGAGCAGAGCTGGCGATGGGCTAGATGGATCTGAAGATTCAGGGATGTCTTAGGAGCACAGTAGAGTGGCTGTCACCTTCTGCTCTTTCCCCTCTGCTTCCTTTTCATTGGATGGGCTTCCTTTGCTTCTCCATCCTGCGTGTGGCAGAAGGGTCTGTCTGCTTTAGCTGCTGTGTCCAGCTCCAGCTCTCCAGGATGCATTTTGGGTGCCTCTGTAGGGGTGGATATATCTGTTTAGGGAAGAACAGATGTAATTCATTGGGTTTTCACAATTCAAAATATTTTGAAGCTTTCCATTCCACTAACTTAAAATTTTTTGATTTTTGATGGCATGGGGATTGAGCCCAGGCCCTTGCACATACTAGGCAAGTACCTCACTGCTGCTATCTCCTCCTCCTTCTTCTGCTTGTTCTTCTTATTATTCTTTTGGTTTGTCAAGACAGGGTTTCACTGTGTAGCCCTGGTTGTCCTGGAACTCACTTGATAGCCCAGGCTGGGCTCAAACTCACAGAGATCCTCCTGCCTCTGCCACCTGAGTGCTAAGATTAAAGGTGTGCACCACCACCACCCAGTTCACTGCTGCTATCTTAACTTATTGTTCTCATTGATATTTATTTTTGTTTGTTTTTTGGAGACAGACTCTCATGATCTTTCATTCACTTCCTAAGTGCTGTGATTAGAGACAAATCACTACACCAGCTTCCTTTAAAAATCAAAACAAAACTATATCTACTTTTAAATTGAATTTCTTGTTTTTCTTGCATTTTAAAAATCTATTTTGGCAATTTATGTCAACTAGTGGAGATGTTCATTAAATAGATCATTTATATTTTATGATATTAATTGGTTCTCTATTTTCTTGCCTTTTAAAATTTTTATTATTATTATGATTGGTCTTTTGTCCTTTTGGTTGTGAAGCTAGCCTTTGACGTCTCAGGCTTCTTTCCAGCTCTTTTGTTGTCTTTTGAGTCAGAGTCTCTGGAGTCCAGGCTGAACTCAGAATTCTTTTGCCTTTGCCTCCCTTGTGATAGAACTGTGTGTGCCACATACTGGCATCTGCCTTATTTTGGATTGTGTGTGTGTTTTTATGTATATGTGTTTGGGAGTGCATGTGGAGGGTAGATGTTGGCTTCTGATATCTCCTTATGTTCTCCAACTTTTTTTCTTTTAAGATAGGGTCTTTCAATGAACCTCGAGCTTGCTGCTTTAGCCAGACTGGTCAGTGAGCTCCAGCCATCTGTGTGTCTCTTCTGTCCATAGCACTGGGTTATAGATGTTCAACATCATGGTTGGGCCTTATTAGGATGCAGAGGATCTGAACTCAGGTCCTCATGCTTCCATAGCAAGTACTTTATCTCCTGAATCATCTCCCTGGCTGTGGAGCTTCATGCCTTTCTCTCTCCTTCCTCCCCCCTCTCTGTGTTTGTGCATGGTGCTTAATGATGGACAGTGTTTCAACTCTCTTCTCTCTTTGTCTCTGTCTCTCTCTGTTGGTGCATGTTGCTTAATGATGGACAGTATCTCAACAGTTCCGATAATCTTTCTCAGATAGTACTGGGCTAGTTGAAATTTGAATACCAGACTCATAGCTGCTTTGCATGGTTCTTTATGTCAGTTAATCTTGGTGAATTCAGGTCTGGTGTTGAGGTACCTTGTCAGTTATTGCAGTGCATTATAAAGTAAGGGCTGCTCACATGTCATTTTACATCAGAGTGAGCAGCTTATATATATTAGAGTAGTCTTTCCCAACTAGCCTAGCTTTCTGTGCCATTGTGGTAGCTCCTGTTACTTCTGCATTGTTTCCTCAGGACACATTGTTTTCGCTTTAAACAGTGTGATTTAGGAAACAAGGAACAGATTGTATATTTATTCCTGCAGTTACCATTTTTAATGTCATTTATTCCTTGGCACAAGAATTCAGATTTCCATCTGGAATAATTTTCCTTTTGCCTGAAGAACTTCCTGTAATATGTCTGTAGTGTTGTGCTGCTGATGTCAGCTTTTTTGGCTGCATGTAGGCTGTGGGAATTGTTCTGCCTGCCTATTGTGGCCTTAGGTATTAGGCCACAGTTTTAGTACTTGCCTGCAGTGACCTATACTCAGAGACTTGAGGAAGTCCCTTGTATAGTGTAGAGCCCTAAAGTCCTATCCATTTTGTAGCTTTTCTCCTTGTTCTCTGCCCTGCACATTTAGCTCTTGACCTCCTTAAACTTTCAACTTTTCAACTCAGGCTGGCTTTGGCTCTACCTAGATTTTCCTTCCTATATCGTCACTTGGAAAGTCTTCCAAGCCTTGAGATGGATCTTGGGTGTGTCTTCACTTCCCTGATTGTTGTCCTGTCCAATGTTCATGTTGCCCGAGAACAGTGTCTGAGAGACCATTGTTTTGCATGATCTTTTTTTTTTTTTTTTTAGTTGTTTTAGGTGGAAGCAGCCAGTTACAGGGGTTGATTTTTTTTTTTTTTAATGAGTAAGGTTTTTCTTATAGTTTTGATCACAAGTCAGTTATTTTCAAGGTTACTAATATCTTTATAGCGCTCCTGATATGGAGGAGATCCTGACTGAATCAGAAATTAAACTGGATGGTGTCAGACAGAAAATCTTACAGGTAGCCCAAGAGCTGTCTGGAGAAGATATGCACCAGTTCCATCGAGCTGTCACCACAGGTAAGTCTAAAGTTAATAAAGAGTGCTATGTGAATTATGTCAGTTTTCATTGACATGCCATGAAGTGGTATTACTAACTTAATGGCACAAATGCCATGACCTATGTGTGGAGGTCAGAACAGCTTGTGGGAATTGGTTCTCTCCTTCCACTATGTGGGTCTCAGTGATTGAACTCAGGTCATCAGGATTGGTGGCATCTCACGGGTTTCATACAAAGTCTTTAAAAATGACGTTTTGACAGTCTCATAGCTTATTCTGGCCTCAAAGTCCCTAGATAGCTAAGGTTGGTTTTGAACTCTTCATCCTTCTTCCTCTACCTCCCAAGTGTTGCATAATTAGCACCCATTACCTTCCTGGCTTTAAAATGAAGTTTTTGAGCTGAAGAAGCAGTGATATTTATTCTTAAGTTCAGAATGAAGCAGTCAAAAGAAACTTTTGTGACTTAAAAAGTTGCTTAGATTAAATTTAGGAAAATAAATGTATTACAGTTTTGGTGTTACTCCAAAAGGCCATTTTTTAAAAAAAAAAATTATTTTTATTTTACATATCAATCCCAGTTCACTCTCCCTCCCATTTTCCCATGACCCCACTGTCCCCCCACCCCCATCCTATACCCCATCCACTCCTCAGGGAGGGTGAGGCCTTCCAGGAGGGATCATCAAAATCCCCCCACCCCCATCCTATACCCCATCCACTCCTCAGGGAGGGTGAGGCCTTCCAGGAGGGATCATCAAAATCTGTCAAGTCATTTGGAGTTGGGTCTAGGCCCTCCCCATGTCTCTAGGTTAAGGGAGTATCCTGAAGTGCGTTCATGCACTTCAGATACATCCTGGTTCCACTCAAAGGTCCCATAGACTGCTCAGGCTTGGTTCCATTCAGAGGTCCCATAGAATGCTCAGGCCTTTTAACTGAGACCCACATTCAGGGAGTCTTGGTTGGTCCTATGCTGATTTCCCAGCTATCATATTGGAGTCCATGAACATCCCCTTGTTCAGGTCAGCTGTTTCTGTGGGTTTCTCCAGCCTGGTCTTGACCCCTTTACTAATCACCTCTCCCTCACTGCAACTGGATTCCAGGAGTTCGGCTCAGTGTTTAGCTGTGGGTGTCTGCTTCTGCCTTTGTTTTTTGTGTTCATAGCTACTGGGTAGAAGCTCTAGGATGAAGGCTATTCTTTTGACTTGAAGATAAAACAGCTCTGGCATTCAACTAATGGAGTTCTGTGCTTATTAAGTGCAGTGCTGATGGCAGACAAAATGTTTCTCCGAGAGGTCGATGTGAGCAGACAATAACCTCATGGTTCAACAATACACCTGGGGTGTGAGTAGACTGAACTGTCCAAAGGAATGGTTGGACAATTAAATGTGCAATTAGTTGCTTGAAATAAACAACTTAAAAATTTTTTATGATTTCTTCCTTGTTAGAGAAATTTAACAGGTCAGGCAGGGAATGCCCTGCATCTTAAAGGAACACTTTTTTTTTTTTTTTTTTTTTTTAATTTTTGTATTGCCTTAGTTTAGTCTAGATCACTGATAATGTTTTTAGCTCTCTAATGCTGTAATTATTCTATTCAAGAATGTGAATGACGGATTAGATGAGTGTTTGTGGTTGGTTAGAGATTTTTGGTTTTTAAAACAGATAATGTCACCAGAGGATGGTGACACATGCCTTTACTCCCAGCACTCAGAGGCAGAGGCAAAGGCAGAGGCAGGCACATCTCTGTGAGTTCTAGGCCAGCCTGGTCTACAGAGTGAGTTCCAAGGCAGCCAAGGCTACACAGAGAAACTTTGTCTTGGGGAAGAAAACAAAACAAAACAAAAAACCAAACCAACCAAACAAACAAAAACCCATATAAATGTCTACACTGCCTGTCTGGCTATGAACTGGGCTCAAGGTGCAAGGTGTCCATTCTAATGCTTGAGCCTCACTACTGGGCATGCTGGAGATACATAGAGGCATTCTTCATTATAGACACAGCTTTTGCTTTTTTGGTTCCCTAAATTATTTCTACCACTTACAAGTAAGGAAACTGAGGCTTCACAGGAGTTTTAATGAAGGTCATCATTGGTTGCTTTGACATCTTTGGTCTCTTTCTTTTCAGACCCAGTTTAACCTACTGACTTTAGTATCAGTTAAAATCCAATACAGGACTTCAGGGAGTGCTAACTCCCTGAAGTCAGCCTCAACCTGGGAGAAAAATAGCTACAATGTAAAACTGTGTTTAATTAGGAGATGATTCAGTAAGTACTTTGGGGATCATTTAATCACAATTTAGTATTTAGTAAATCAGTGTTGTATACTACAAACTTGTTGGTAATTACAACAAACCTTAGAAGAATCTCTTTAAGATTTTATGGGCTACAAAAACACAAATAGACTTGTTTTCTAGATGAATGTCTGCTGTTGCACTAGTGTGATGTCTATCTACATTGAGAGTGTTTTAGTCCAGTTTCATTTCTAAACATTCCTTTGCTTTTCTGAAATACTGTTTCAGAAAGTTGACAATTTAGTGTGGACTCTATAACATTGTGTTGATAAGGATGATACTTCTTAGTCAGTTTTGAACAGGCTGTACCAACTCAATCTCTGCCTTATGGAACAAACAGCTACTAGCAATATAGCTTGTTTTGACCCAATCTCTCTGGCAACCACTAATTTACTGTCTCTTTGGAGTTGTCTCTTCCACACATCTCACACAAATAGGACTGGATAGTGGACATGTAGCATAATGGTTTCAGGTTCATCTGTGGGGTAGCCTACAACAGTACTTTCCTGCTATAGTATAATCATGAACAGATAGACCACATTTTGTCTGTTGGTTGGTGTACATTTGGCCCTTGTGAGGGTTGTTGCTATTCACCTCTGCTATTCACAAGTCTTTGAATGAGCATAACCCTATTCCTCTGGGTAAACCGTGGTAAACAATTTTCTAAGAAAAGCATTAAAATCTTGCAAAGCAGGTTGAGCTCTCTCACATGCTCACCCCCAGGCTAGGTTTGGTGTCAAATTGAATGTATGTGGCTTAAGTACAATGAGAATAAATAAAAGTAATGAGAAGCTTTTAACTGGGTTTCCCTGAGTATATTCTAATAGGGGAATGAAGTAAAAAAGGACAAATTACATAAAAGCAACATCTAGTGTTCTCTCTTACTGGAAGCAGATTCTGTAAATAATTCCTTTTGGATTTCTTCCAAGGTAGAAGCACAGGGGAAGGCATTGTTTGGAGTATGGCAGTGGGCTGAAAATTTTCACCTTGGGGATTATACACTGAAAATAACGGATGTCCTTTTCATCAAGTTGAAACATAACTTGTTTAAACATCCTTTTACCTACATATGACCCAGAGTGCTTCTCAGTATCTGGGGCCAGGTGTCCTTGAACTCTCTCTGTGAGATAGCACAAACCTTAAATTTCTTTATTTAATCATTTTATGCCTGTTATGTGCAAGGCACACATTAGTGATCAGGACATGTGCTCAAATCACCCTCCCAACTGCTATAGACAGGGGTTAGTGACACCGTTGAGCCTTGGTATAGGGCCCAGGAGTGCTTGTATGCCTCGCCTCAGCTGATACAGTGTGCATGGACATCTAGCACACTTTTATTATCAGGCTAGGTGATGAGCATCTTCTAGTTTTCTACACACTTGTAAGTTAGTGCTGTGCCTAGTAACCTTCTTTGTTGTCTTTTCAGGACTGCAGGAATATGTGGAGGCTGTCTCTTTTCAACACTTCATCAAAACTCGTTCGTTAATCAGCATGGAAGAGATTAACAAGCAGTTGACATTTACAACAGAAGACAGTGGGAAAGAAAGCAAGACTGTGAGAATTTAAAATCATATTTCACATTTACTATATAATTTATACATTTGTACAACAGTGTAGTGATTGGTGGAAACTCCTGGCTTCCTGAAGCCTGGTTTGCTAGGTCTCACTGGGGAAGCGCTGTCTTAAGTGTCGCCATTGGTGACAGCAAGAGTGACATGAGTGAGTGACATGGCTTCAGGGAGTAAGAAGCTCAGCAAATGCGGCAGGGTGTCTAGAATCCAGGCTGTGCTCTTGAAGTTCTCTGTGAGGGGTATATACAGGAACCCCTGGTGTGTGCACCTACCTCAAAGGGATTTTTGAAAGAGTTTAATTTAACAAAGGTTTTTTTTTTTTTTTTTTTTTTTTTTTTTTTTTTAACTAAGCAGTGTTTATACTTAACAGTAGTTCATTGTTATAAAGTAGTTGTCACATGGTGAGAGCCATTTACCACTTACTCAAACTACCATATGTGTAGTTTAAAAGCTAGACATTGCCTAGCTGTTAAAAACTACTTCTTTCCCCTTTTGGACTTGAACATACAACCTTCAGGCAACCAGATGGGCCTTTGATCTCTCCTCTCAGATATATTAAGATAAACAGTATTTTGCTGTTCCTTTTCCCCCTCTTACTGATTTAAAAAAATACCACTTAAGAGTCAGGAGAAGTAGACAAAGAAACTGTTAAAAGTCAAGATTTTCCCAATATGATATAAAGTGTTAGGTTGCAAAGTAAGCCTGACTTGGCATGACAGAAAAAACTTACTCTAAAAATCCATGTATTTTCTCAGCTTTGAGCTTATACTTATCTTTGTTAAAGGGGAGACTGACTCTGAGAAGCAAGAGGCATTCATGGCTTTGATTCATTCACTGATGAATCAAATGAAGGATGAAATGGCAGTGACAAGTGGGGCCAGCTGTTTGTCCTGCTTCATGAGAGCAGCCGTCTTTCTGCTTCTGCAGAAGAGAGACAATGGGGGAAAAGGCAGGCTGAACATGTGTGCTCTCTTTCAGAGCTTTTGAGATTATGACCCAGATATACTTCTCACTGAAGTTGAGCCTCCTCTGTGCTTACAAATAACTTTCCCTTTAGCACTAGATTCTTGGTGCTGAACATTCTGAGAGTTTTATAAAGAAAGAAATTTTCCTTTTAATTTGGCTTGTGAGAATATTGTCAAAATCATTAAAACAATTACTATGATGAATTTTAAACATGCAGAAAAGTAGAGGGAATGATAACCATTTGTTAGTTCGTACAGCACTTCCCAAATTAATGACCAGGAGGTAACATTTTGCCATATTTGCTTTGTTCAAGTAGTTCTGGTTAAATAGTTTTAAAGTGCATTAGTGATGCCATTATCCTAAACACCTGCGTGTCCATCTTGAAAAATTGTACTTTAAGCAAGTTTTTCCCTCTCACTAAAGTTTTCAGGAAGCAGAATTTATTTTGATAAATTTTTCTCTAAATTTGTTTATTATGCAACATGTCTGTTTCTCTAAAACCAATGTACAACTATGACCCCTTTGGTGTAATAAGTGGCATGTGAAATGTACTCCTCTTCCATCTAAACAAAGAAACAGACAAATGAATCAATAGCAGTTTTAGTTTACAGAATCCCCAGATACTTTTCTGATGTGCTTTCAAAAGCATTAGAATGGCTAGAAACAGGCTGTGGGTGCGTTTTTCCTGTTACTAACCAGTTCTTTCATTATCCCTGCTGTGTGGTACACCTTTTTTCTCATGTTCTGTCATGGGCCATTGGGCCACAAGGTCTCTCTGAAGGGTCTGAACAGGATTAAGATATGTGCACAACAATCAAAGTAATAAAGTGAAAGTTTACTCTGTCACTTCCTGAATTCTCAGAGACTCCACAACCTGGAAGTAAAGTCCAAATTCCTCAGTGTGGTGTCCTTCCCATTTGCATCTCTAGTCTCAATCTGTACTACTCTTTAATTTTACTTAAAATGAATACCTAATTAGTTCCTCAAACACAGCACCATTCTTTCCTGTATGCCTGGTAGACCCACTAGCCAGAATGCACTTACAGCTTCATCTAGCTGCATTCCACATACATTGGTTACAATTTAGGTATCATTTCTAGAAAAAAAAACTCACAGAGAGATGTATATGATGGTGATGATAGCAGCTAACATTTATGGAGTGTTTTCTTGGGTTGCACAGTATGCCAAGAATTTAGTAGACATTGTTTTACTTAATCCATAAAAGACTTCTGAGATGGGTAACAATTCTGTTTACAGAGAGTTGAAAAACTTGCCAAGAGACAAGTATCTTATGAAGCAAAGTCCTGGAAGAGGGGGGGGAGATGAGTCAAAGTCATTTGGAAACTAAGTTCACATTAGAGGAGAGAGAGAGAGAGAGAGAGAGAGAGAGAGAGAGAGAGAGAGAGAGAGAGAGAGAGAGAGAGAGGAGAGAGAGAGAGAATGTCATTTGAGGCTGGAGAAGATGGATGTAGCTATAACATGGGTAAGATGTTTTGGTAGTAAGACAAATAAGAGACAGTGTGAGGAGACTGGCAGATGACTGGGTCTACAAAGTTAAGCTAGATTATTTGCTGAAACTGAAGAGTTTGGGGATTGAATAAGGCACAGAAGAAAGTACCAGAGGCTTGGAATAGTGTATGAAGAGGCTGTACAGAAGAGGCATGTAGAAAAGAACCATGCTATGTTTGAGGATGGGCCTTGAAAGACTGAGCAGGCTGGGTTTTCAGAGGACTTGGTTCAGTTTCCAGCACCCACATGGAGGCTCACAACCATCTGTAACTCCAGTTCCACGGGATCTGATGCCTTCTGGCCTCTGAAGGCTCCAGGCATGAACCTGGTATACAGACATGCATGAAGGCAAAACACTCATATGCATAAACTAATAAAGAAAACTACTGGAGAATAACTAAAAGGGTTGGTGAGTAATTTGCAGTAGTTCAGACTCTGCAGTCTGTAGATGTGATTACTGTTTCTAAAGTCACTTGTACTCAGCTGGTTAGTGTAGGGCTGACATGGAGCTTTCAACACTGATTGGAGATTTTGATTGGCTGGACATAAGTAGTAGGAGATGGGGGCAGGAACTGGGTACAGTTGCAGACTGTGATGGGCAGTGCAGAGTAGGGAAGAAGAAGCCAGTTGAAGACAGGGAAGCAGGACTGAAGGAGGGGATCATAATTGCTGTTTGATAGTGATTGTCATGCAATGACGTCAAGTTGGCCTTGTTAGTATATGTCTTCTGTGCTGTGAAGTGAAGTTGGACTTGGTTTTACATTGGTGGTATTTGATTATTCTGTTATGTCCAAGCCACTTGCTTAACTCCTTACCCAGTACATGGCTGGATTCCTTATACCCCTGTAATATAGATAACACACAGAGAAGACCAGTGTGCCTGACTTGCTATTAATTGCATGCTTTATGGTTGTGATGTCTGATGTATTCACTTTCTCACAGTGATTTTTTTGTGTGTGTGGCTTTCTTTTTTTGTCTGTTACCAGCCCTCCTCTGATGGACAAGATAAGCAGCTTGTTACTTGGAGACTGAAAATCACACCTGTTGATTACCTGCTGGGAGTGGCCGACTTAACTGGAGAATTGATGCGAATGTGTATTAACAGCGTGGGAAATGGGGACATTGACACCCCCTTTGAAGTGAGCCAGTTTTTAAGACAGGTTTATGATGGGTTTTCTTTCATTGGCAACACTGGGCCCTATGAGGTTTCTAAGAAGCTGTACACTTTGAAACAGAGCCTGGCCAAAGTGGAGAATGCTTGTTATGCTCTTAAAGTCCGAGGTTCAGAGATTCCCAAACACATGCTGGCAGATGTGTTTTCAGTCAAAACAGAGATGATTGATCAGGAAGAGAGCATTTCTTAAGCATCTGCATTCTTTCTAAGGAGCTCCTGGGAGACCAATTGGTGAGACTGTTCTGAGTGTGCTTTTGACTTTATTGTAGTTTTTGTAGATGTTTCTAGTTGTACTAGTTTGAAGTCGTATACAGCTGTATATAAGTTTGTCCACAGGAACATTTATTACATTCATGAGCATTTGCATACCGTGTTTGCATATGTGCTTATTCCCGGTGTTTGCTTTATTGTTATGTGAACATGCTTCCAGTTGCACTTTCTGCCACACCTACTTTAGTTCACTTTGAACTTGGAGTGATATTTTCAGTGGAAGGAAGCCTCATAAGTGGGTGATTCTGTATATGGAGAAAAAAGCATAATGAAACTTCAGCAGTAAGCTTCCTGTTTTAAGTTCTTGGCAGTATCATGGTAAGCCTTTAAAATAGGCTTAGTACATGAAACAAGAATTTAACAATGTAAGCTATCAGTATTTTTTAAGTACAAGCATTGGTGGTATTATAATAAAAATTCATGTAAAATTTTGGCCAAATTCAGGCCATTTTGAATTTATATAAAAATAGCTTTCCAGAAAAATTGATAGATACCCAGATGTTAACATCTCCACTTAGTTTTTCCCTTTATCACAGATGTGAGGAATTGGAGCTGATGTTGTTTTTCACTGGTAATGCTGAGTAATTATACACCTGTCCATAGTTGTGAGCAGGTAGGCCCTTTGTCATGGTGTTAGGTGTGGTGGGCTTTTCTAGTCTAGCACCTCTTAGAAATCACAGAACAGCTACAGTGGCTAAAATGCTGACAACCCAAACCTTTATATTTGTCCCTTGGTGTTAGCCAATAATGTTGCCAAAGAAAATGAATTATGTATAATTCAGCAATAAGACAATTGCCAACACAGAGGAGGGAGCGTTGGTAGTCACTAGCAGCCAGAGGTTTGGAGTTTGCCTACCCAGTGAGTCAGAGCTCTTTTGTGGTGTGAAACTGGCTTGAATATGACCTGCCAGCTAATATCACCACATGCTTTCAACTAGTTTTGTGAGTTTGCAGAACTTAGATACTGGGTTTTATTTTTGGAAAGAGTATCTATTTGTTAGGGCTGTCTTTGAAAGTGTAATTTTTCCAAAAATTATTACTGAAAGGAAAATAAAATGTATACATGCTTGAAAGTTAGATTTGTTTTTCTTGGTGATGGTGGGACTTTGGTTTCCCTGCTCAGTTATACTCAGTTCCATTACCTATTTTGTTTGTTTTTTCAACTACTTCAAGTTGAATTTATAATGTTAAAATAATGAATTGAAGAATGTTTTACAGAAATTTAAAACAAATTTTGAATAAAATATTAAAATATGGAAGCTCATTGGTTTTACTTTTTTTTTAAAATTACATTATTTATTGTGCTGCACGTGGCATGTATGTAGAGGTCAGAGGATAGCTGTGGAGGTTGGTTCTCTTCCACCATGTGGGTGCTGGAGACCACACAGGTTGGTAGGCTTGGTGATTAGTAGGACCTTTTCCATTCCAGCTAATCATCTCTGCAGCTCAAGAATCTGTTGTTTTGATAGCACTGAGAAATACTTGGTAAAATGGGAAGCCTAGACTAGGTTAATAAGGAGGTTTATTCTTTTTTTCTTAAATCCCTAGTTAGGAGGCTCCCAAGCGGTTGTTTCTCCTGAAATGAATCAGGGACTTCCCTGCTGCTGTCTGTGGTCTCCATTCACCACTCAGTGACTCCCTTGTGGTTGGTGGCTAGGTGTTCAGGCGGACTTCCCTGTGTTCTCTAGGGTTAAAAATTGGTCCATGTGCTCTCAAGAAGACATCTTTCACAGTGCTCTGACTCAGACTAGATGATATTCTTGACCCTTAAGTCAGTTCCTGGAAGGGAAGATAATACTATCTTAATACCCCAGCTGATTTGTCCAGGGCAAACACTAGAAAGCCAGGCTGTCAGAGGAGCAGGGTAAGGGCCTTTCGTATAGTCAGCAGTGCCTCCTGCAGGTGGCTGAGTGCCTTTGCTCCTGATGCATTCTTTGTTGGTACAGTGGGTGGGTGGGGGGCTCCTTTTAAATTGTGTGTAATAATAGCATTATCTGTTGTGGTGAGTTTTCTATTTATTACCAAAAGGAATTGTTTCTTGGGGCTAGTGAGATGACTCAGTTGGTAAAGCTGTTTGCCACCAAACCTCACAACCTTCATTTGATCCCTGGAACCTACATGGTGGAAAGAGAAAAACTGGCCATGCCATGTCCCCTCCCTGCTGCAAACAAAATACATACAAATGTAATAAAAAAAAAATTATAAGAAGTAGAAGGAACTGAGTCAAGGTCCCATGACAAGTTGGTGACAGAATTTTGGAATGAAAGTGGAATATTCTTTTCGATTGTTGTTTCTTGTGTCTATTAAATGAGTGGTTTTCACAGAGAACCCCAGGCCTTTAGTTATCCTCAGAGACTGATAATTAATTGAGAGATTGGCAGAATGGCTCTAAGCTCTTTATTATCTACAAAGACTCACATTAGATTCAAAGACAAGCAGATTGAAGTAAGGGTAGAAAAGATAACTCCATGCAAAGGGTAACCAAAAGAGAATCTGTGATTTGCTACTAGTAGCAGATAAAATAGACTTACTTTTTGTTTTGTTACAAAGAACAGCATTATAGTAAGTTCAATCCAATAAGAATATATAATAGCTAAAATGAAAAATGTTAATAAATGGTATCTGTGTGTGTGTGTGTGCACGCAAGTGCATATTTGCATGTGTGTGTGGAGGCCAGAGGTCAGTGTTGAGTGTATTTTTCAGTTTCTTCATCCCTACTCCCACCCCAAGACAGGGTTTCTTTGTGTAGCTCTGTCTGTCCTGGAACTTTCTTTGAAGATCAGGCTAGCCTTGAACTGTGCTTGCTTTTTACCTCCTGAGTGATTTGTTTGTTTGTTTGTTTGTTTGTTTAAGAAAAAAACTATTTGTTTAATGTGTATGGAAGTTTTGCCTGCATGTGTGTTTGATCACCACATGCAAGCATGATGCACAGGTAGGACAAAAGAGGACTTTGGATCCCCTGGGACTGGAGTTACAGACAGTTTTGAGCTGCCATGTGTGTGCTGGGAGTTGAACCCAGGTCCTCTAGAAGAACAACATTGAGCCACCTTTCCAGCCTTCTTTCCTTCCTCCTTGTGTTCTGAGACAGTCTGTCATTGAACTGGAAGCTTACTGATTCAGCTAGCCTGCTTAGCTAGCAAGCCCCAGGAACCCACCTATCTTCACTTCTCCAGTTTTAAGATTACAGACACATCACCATTCCCAATTTTTACATGCTGCTGAGGAGCCCTTCATCATTTTTTATTGTAAATTTTGATTATATATATGGGATCAGTTCTTTTTTCAAATTTCAGAATTTTTTAGTTAATAGTGTCAGTCTTCTTTTCATTTATATATATGTATATATATGAATATTTATGAATACACACACATACATATTCCATTCTCATATATATAAAATTTTGCAAAGTTGCCCAGGCTGGCCTATGTACTCTAATACTCTAGGCTGGTCTCAAACTCATGATCCTCCTGCCTTAGCATCCCAAATACTGGAATTGTACATGCACACCACCATTCCCACTTTAAAATTTTTAAAAGACAGTACAAATCCCATTGAATAAATGTTCCCTGATGTGTCCCTTGTCCCTATTTTTAAGTAGAATATCTGGTTTTAATTTGGTGATTAGAAACTGGTTTTTCTCTGTATACAGAGTCTGTGTTTCAGGAGAAATGTATTTCAGTTACCATCATAATGCGTCAATCGGGGTCAAGTGTTTGTACAGGATCCTATAAAATAGCGTCACCTACTGGCATCATCTGGGTTTATAAGCAAACTGTTTACACAACAGCAACACTTCCAGACCACACTTCCCCTGTCAAGCGAGGCACAATTCTATGCCATCTTCACATTTAGGTGTTATGTCTTTTTTCTTACTTGCTTCTGGAAGAAGTCTTACTTGTAACTTTTCTCAGTAACCCTGTGAATGACAGAGTTGCAGCCTTCATATTGTATAATAGTGTTGCTTTAAAATGGTGGGCTGGGGAGAGCTGAAAATCCAGCTCAGCAGTTAAGAGGACCAAGATCATTCCCCACCACCAACATGGCAGCTCACAACAATCTGTAACTCTGGTTCTAGGGATTGGACTCCCTTTAGAGCCTCCATGGACATCTCCGCATGCACATGATGCACACACAAATAGGCCTACACAACATAATTAAATATGCTGGGGCTGATGGTATAGCCCAGTGGTAGAGCTATTGCTTAGCATATATAAGACCCTGAGTTCAGAAGACCCACAAGCCCAGGAACATGAAAAACATGGGAGTGCAAGAATCTTTTTTCCATATCCGTAATACCAGTAGATGCCTCTATGTCTGCCTTTTCTAACATTGGCATGTGTGCATAACACACACACACATACACACACACACACGTGCGCGTGCATGCAGAAGTGTTTCTCTGGGGCACCTCTTACTTTCATGCATGAATGACCAAAGAGCAGCTACTTCAGATGGCAGAATCCTAATGGCATGGAGCTTTCAGGAAGAAAGAACTGGGCTGCCGCCACTTAAAACTCCCAGGTAGCCAGTGTTGGGGCTTCCAGCTCTGGGACATGGGTGGTAGTGGTGATAGGGCAGGTGAGGAGGTCATGGTGACATCTAATCATTACCTCAGGAGTTGCTCTGGGCACAGGGCTTTAGCAATGGCACATGTTTTTCTCTTTCCTTTGTACTGTATATGTTTTATAAATTATAAAATTCTTCTCCTTTTAACTCTTGTCATAGGCTATGGTGTTTTCATTTAGACTTCAAATTGTAGGGTGTTGAGGCAAATTATTGCTTTGAAGGAAGAGTGGATATCATGGCAAGAAATGGGCCTTCTTGCCCCCCACCTTTCCCTGCTCCCCCATTGCACCAAGGACACATATACCACCTCAGATGCAAACAGGATATTTAGAAGCTCCACTGTCCACCAAGCTGTATGTGAACACAAATGGCCAAATTGCTGGACTGTGTGGTGTTAGTGCCTGTTGGCTCTGCTATAGAGGGCATCTTGGGAACTCAACTTGTGTGACTCACTCGCTTTGAGTGTCTTACCTACACTGTGATAAAGGGCATGCGTTCTGCTTGGGCCCCAAGGCTGGCATGTGTGCAGATGGCATACGTGAGGGTTCACAGGAGCCTTAATATTCTGCTGCTCACCTGCTCAGGCTACAGGCAGTAGAAGTCATGACCTAGGTTTCCTGTAGTTCCTGCAGCCCTTTGACTTCCTGACTTGCTGGCTGTATTCCCAACCTTCCTTTCCTCCCGCCCTTCCACTGTTTTGGAAGCACCTGTGTTAAGTCTTTTCCTGAGAGGGTTACCTAAAGTGCTTTCTGTTTTCCTAAGTGAGTGTAATAGGGAGTCTGCCCTTGTCAGACAAGAAATAGAAAAGGGGCCAGTGTGGTGGTGGTGCATGCCTTTAATCCCAGCACTCAGTTGGGGGTGGGGGGCAGAGGCAGAGGGATCTCTGAGTTCGAGGCCTGCCTGGTCTACAGAGTGAATTCTAGAATAGCCAGGGATATATAGAAAAACTCTGTCTGACTTGATGCCTTTGTATCAAATGGGCCAAGATTTGATGTTTAAGAAGGCTGAGAAGATGTGAGAAAACAGGGTCTCATTCAGTGATCAGGTCAGACCATTCTGTCTTTCATCTTTACATTATGACCACATGTAGAAAACATCTTGTCTGATGCCCTCATAGCCACTGTGTGCAGCAGACAGTACCTGGTTCCCGGATGAAACGCTAAAGAAGTGAAAAGCCTGCTTGAAAAAAGGTCAGTGTGGCTTCAAAGAGGATATGGATAAGCAGACAGATGAAGGCAGGATGTCAGTTCAAGACCTGTGGAAGAAAATGAGCATCGTGGATAAGAAAGTTACCAAGGATATTGAGATTTTGAACACACATACACACACACACACACACACACACACACACACACACACACACTCAGGCACACGCACACACGCACAAATACACATACAAACATACATTTGTATACACACATATATATGCACACATGTAACAAATGCACACACAACCATACAGATACATACATGTTTATAAATTTCTACATTTTACATAGACACACATACACAATCACACATACATATACCATATACATATGCAGAATTATACACACATACATGCCATAATGAAAGTCACAGTGCTGATTGGCAGAATGTTTTGAGGACTGTGCTTCCTCTGTGTCTTCAGAATAGGTTGCCGCTAACTTAATTCTTCTCATTTATGGCATCTCTGATTACTGCTCTAATCCA